CCTCATTCATTCTCCATCACATTACTGGATTTTATTGTCTTCATGGCATGAATATCTCTTTAGGTTTCTTATTTATTTATTTGCTAGTTTGTGTATTATAAGCATCATGATGACAGGAGTCTTTTTTAGCATCTTTTAGCCTTTTTATAAGCATCATGATGACAGGACCCTTTTTAGAACCCAGAACAGCACCTGATAGCCTTTCAGAAAATAGTTGCTGAATGAATGAAGGCCAATAAGTTTTTATTTTTAAAGTTTGAATAAATTTCTTGTTAAAGGAATTTGCACTGTTAACCAAAGAAGTGGGTAGAGAAGGACCTTCCATCTTCTTGAAATTCTTTCATGTATGTTTATGGGTTTTATTCACAAGTCACATTGCTTAAATTTTGAACCTTTAGAAAGATTCATTCAAAGAGGCAGAAAAGGGTGATGTCTGTTTATAGTAAGTTTTGGGGATACTTCCTTTTAAGGTATGGAATTTAGACTAGCCAGATACAACAACTGAATATGTGCTTAAGACAATCATTAATTCATTCTGCAACTATTTATCCAGCACGCTGATAAGTGCCGGGAATGCAATGGTGAATAAAACAAACAAGGAGCTTATAGGGGTGCAGGCACTAATTAGACAACCATAGCAATGGATATGTGATTATAAACTATGATCCTTTCTGTGTAGAAAACTTACACGATGCTTTCAGTACATGTGCAACCAAGGGGGTAAGAGAATATTTCACTGAAGAAATAACCATTTGGTGGTAATTTGAATCAGAGAGAGGACTGAAACTTTTAAACAGAGGTCCTAAGGAGGCAAGGTGAAAAAAAGAAATGAAAGAAGTCTGAATGTAACTAAGTAGAAAGGTTGAGCAGGAGTGTAGCTCTGGTGAAGTAGCAGAGGTCAGATGAAAGGAGAGTGTAATATGATGACAAATAAAGACAAAAACAAAACAAATGCGACAAAGCAACCTAAGTAGCTTTTGGAGTAATGCAAACCCTGGCTTCCTGCATGAGCTTTGATGCCTATCAATTGTGTAACCAGATCAGTTTTAACTTCTTTCTGCTCAGTTACTTTAGTGATGAAAACAAACCTGGTAGAGTGACTGTAAATATTACATGAGATAGTCCTTGGCACATGTTAGGTATTCATGGGATAGTACTTCTAGGCTTATTAATGGTTCTTTTGTGTTTGTTACCTGCTGGGCACCCTAATTTAAGCAAACAAAGCAGAAATAATCACTGGTATTGGGGATTCACAACCTGAACCAAGTAAAACTTTCCAAAAGAAAGTTCAGCCAATACTTTTTGAACAACTTGTAGGCAGAGTACATCATGAGAAACGCTGGGCTGGATGAAGCACAAGCTGGAATAAAAATTGTCGGGGGAAATATCAATAACCTCAGATATGCAGATGACACCACCCTTATGGCAGAAAGTGAAGAGGAACTAAAAAGCCTCTTGATGAAAGTGAAAGAGGAGAGTGAAAAAGTTGGCTTAAAGCTCAGCATTCAGAAAACTAAGATCATGGCATCTGGTCCCATCACTTCATGGCAAATAGATGGGGAGACAGTGGAAACAGTGCTTGACTATTTTTGGGAGTTCCAAAATCACTGCAGGTGGTGACTGCATCCATGAAATTAAAAGACGCTTATACTTAGAAGGAAAGTTATGACCAACCTAGATAGCATATTAAAAAGCAAAGACATTACTTTGCCAACAAAGGTCTGTCTAGTCAAGGCTATGGTTTTTCCAGTGGTCATGTATGGATGTGAGAGTCGGACTGTGAAGAAAGCTGAGCACAGAAAAATTGATGCTTTTGAACTATGGTGTTGGAGAAGACTCTTGAGAGTCCCTTGGACTGCAAGGAGATCCGACCAGTCCATCCTAAAGGAGATCAGTCCTGGGTGTTCATTGGAAGGACTGATGCTGAAGCTGAAACTCCAATACTTTGGTCACCTGATGCGAAGAGCTGACTCATTTGAAAAGACCCTGATGCTGGGAAAGACTGAAGGCAGGAGGAGAAGGGGACAGCAGAGGATGAGATGGTTGGATGGCATCACCGACTCGATGGAGATGAGTTTGAGTGAACCCTGGGAGTTGGTGATAGACAGGGAGGCCTGGTGTGCTGCAGTTCATGGGGTCGCAAAGAGTCGGACACGACTGAGCGACTGAACTGAAGTTCTGCTTAGTTCAGTTAAAAACCATTTTTGAGCATCTACTTTGTACAATATATAATGTTTTCTTTTGAGGATACAAAAACAAACCATTTGCAGCTAGTGATTAAATGGGTAATTTTATAGCAATGTTATGGAGGATCTAATAGAAACAAATTCAAAAGAGACATTCTTTGAAGGAGGAACCCTGGGGAAGGTTATGGAGGGGAGAAATAGCCCATAATCCACAAGGAAGGTGTCATGAAAGAGAACTGGAGAGCTGTTCTTCAAAAGCTGCAGAGAGGGTAGTTAGCCAAGGCAGTGCTCCCAACAAGCTATTTGTAGCAGGACATCCTGAATCATGGTCATGGGTTAGTTCTAGCTTATAGCCAAGAGCAGTGTCTCCAAACTCTGCCTGTGTGTTTCTCTTCGGGGCATGTTTGTTTGTGGACTCTTTCATGGAAACTCAGTGTTCCGGCTGCCGGCAGTGAGTAGGCACTGAGACGTGTTTGATCTCATCTACATCTATGCTGTAAAACCATGGTCATCACATCTATGGATCACTTTCCCCTGCCCCCTACCATGAGGCCACTTTAGTTTTTTTGTGTTTGATCAGTTTTGGCTCTATCCTTTTCAGTCAGAACTATCTGTATGTATGTGTGTGTGTATATATCTATATAACCACTTGGGGTGGGTCAGAGTTCTGTTGCCTAGAAAACATCATAGAAAGCTTCTGTTTCCTCAAAAAAAAGCTCCTGTTTCCTCTTAGCTATGTCGTTCTATTATTTACTGTATTCTCATTATTGTCCATTAAAATCATATTCATCCTTTAAGAATCTGATCAGATGCTTATTTCCTTATGAAACCTCCTCTAATCACTCCAGCTTAAAGGATTTTGTCTCCCTTTATAATTTCACATTATGCAGTTTTCTAACAGTGGGCCCAGTGTTTGTTGACTAATAGTGTTACCTGGAAGAAACTTTCTTTTTTAAAATAAAGTTTTTATTCTTGAACTGTTTTACATTTGTGGGATCATTGCAAAGAGTACATAGATTTTCTTTTTTTTTTTTTTCCATTTATTTTTATTAGTTGGAGGCTAATTACTTTACATCATTGCAGTGGGTTTTGTCATACATTGAAATGAATTAGCCATGGATTTACATGTATTCCCCATCCCGGTCCCCCCTCCCACCTCCCTCTCCACCCGATCCCTCTGGGTCTTCCCAGTGCACCAGGCCCGAGCACTTGTCTCATGCACCCAACCTGGGCTGGTGATCTGTTTCACCCTAGATAATATACGTGTTTCGATGCTGTTCTCTTGAAACATCCCACCCTCGCCTTCTCCCAGAGTCCACAAGTCTGTGCAAAGAGTACATAGATTTTCTATTTACCCATTACCCAGTTTCCCCTTTTATTAACATCTTACATTAGTATAGTAAATATGTCATAGTGAATGAACCAATATTGACACATTATTATTAACTGAAGTCTGCACTTCACTCAGATTTCCTCCAAATGTCCTTTTTCCAAATGTCCTCAGTTTTCTCCAAATGTCCTTTTTCTGTTCCAAGATACCATCCAGGATGTCACGTATTACATTCAGGCATCACGACTCCTTCATCTCTCTTAGCTGTGTCAGTTTATCAGACTTTCTAGTCTTGGGTGACCATGACAGTTTTGAGGATTATATATTAGGAATTTCATAGAATGTCCCTCAGTTGGATTTGTCTGATGTGTTTCTCATGATTAGGCTGGAGTCATGGGTTCTTGGGAGAAAGACAACAGACCAGAGAGTATCTACATAAATTATTTAGAATTCTTTTGCATGAGAAAATTTGTTTATTCTCCTCCATTTGTTTATTCAATCATTTATTTATGGGCTTGTAAATATTTATTTTATGTCTTGGGTTATAATGCAATACCACGTTATCCATTTTGTTGCATAAATTGCTCCAGCTTTGGCCATGGGGACTCTTTCTGTTGGCTTTGTGTCCTTTTGCCATATCCCCATCATTCTTGTGTGTGTATATATTCTCAACTTGGGGCACTACAACATTCTCCACGATAATCGTATTTCCTGCCTCAGCCCTGAAATGAGCAGTTTCTCCAAGGAACGCTGGTTCTTTTTATTGGAGAATGGTATAAGAAGTAAAGATCTGGGTATCAGGTTTGCTCATTGCTATTGGGTGTCATTGCTTCTAGGCACTCTCATAACAAGAAGATAGATATATGGGTATGTACTAACCTGTGTGTAAACATCTATAAATATTTCCATATGTGACCATTTATATCTCTATTAAGCTAAATATGAGTTCATACTGATGTCTCAACTCTAATCCATAACCACATGGATTATTCCAGAGGAACTTGAGCTTCAGGTACAATTCCAGATTAAATATTGACCTTACATCTTTTGAAAGGTAAACACATTAACATCATTGAATGTTTTTCTTGGTTTAATAGTGGAATAAATATTACAATTATGAAAATATTGTAAAAGTCAGTTTTACTTTATCACTGTTCACAATTTGGGTATTTATCTCATTAAAACTTTTACCCATCTATAGTTTTGCTAATTTTAATTCCATGAGAATTTAATCTAATAGGGTTTGAAAGTTCTTCTATTACCTAACTATTGAATGTCCCAGAGTTTGAAAATTTTTATATTTTGTGACAATTCAGTGTCCCGTTCAATGATCAAAGTTCATGATTTAGAATTCTAAATATAGAAATAAACACTGTAAAAACACAAAGATAATTATGTAAATTGTGTTCATCCGTGTTGACGGTTTCCACTTCACTCATTTCCTCTCCTCTTTCTTCTTGCCTTGCATTTTTGGTGGGCTGAAGGCTCCAGTGCCAACACCATCTTCTGAGATGATCCTGATTCCCAGAATGCCCTCCGTGCTGCTCCTGCTGCTGCCTATCTTGAGTTCTGCAAAAGCTCAGGTTAACCCAGGTAACACTGCCATTGCTCAGCCCCATGCTGGAAGACGAGCTGAACACTCAAGCCCTTCAATGTTCATCTTGGGAAAAGCACTGCTGAGGGGTCCAAAGGCCCCTCCTTCCTTTCTTTCGCAATGGTGAAACAGGGCCATAGCAGAAATAGAAACTAATATACTCTGTAACATGCTGAATAGTGTTAAAGTGTTCCTTACATGGAGTTGGGTGGAATAAAAACAAAGTGAAATGGGAAGTGGAAGAAGCACCCCTTTGCTTCTGCATCTTCTGGGAAACAGATGAGAACATTTTCAGATGCCTTAGAGAACTTCTGCAAGTTGGTTTCCCAGTTAAGTTTGGTTGGCTAAGGCCTATATTTTACTTGGCTGTCATGTTATGCTTTGGGGACCCTGGTCTTGTAGGATCTCAGGCAGCTTCTTTTTCCTACAGGGTGTGGCCATGCTCAAAAATAGATTTGTTAGTCCCCTTCTCCCAATTCTTTAAATTGAAGTATACAGTTATATCAATTGTCTATTACCATAGTGATGCCACTTAACAACATATGCAAAGTTGGGGATTTAGTCTGGTTTTGATGGGACTATTTTTCTGGTCCCTTCTGGATGTCCCTTCTGCACATATCTGGAAGTAAGCTGATCGTTTACTGACTCATCGAGGATGGCCTTGGCTCTGACAACTGGGGCAGCTTCGCTGTCCTCTCCTCTAGCCCTGCTAAGTGTAGACACCTTTTAATGGAAATTGCATAGCAGCAAAGCAGAGAGGGAAATGTGTAGCATTTTTCAAACCAGTGCTTGAGTCATGTTTGCTGAGATCTCATTGTCCAAAGCGAGTCACATGGCCAAACCCAGAGTCAGAGTGGGACAGCACAAAAATATTACATGGAGGAGGTCTAAATACAGCAAAGAGGAAAGGGCTGGGGCCATTTGTCCTTTTTGCCACAAATATAAATATGGGAAATTAGACATAGCGTAAGTGTCAATTTGATGAATTTTGTAAACTGAGCACACCCATCTAAGTAGTATCCAGATGAAGCAACAGAACTGTACCAGGACTTCAGAAGCTCTTCTTACACTCTCTTCAAGTCACTTTGCCCCACCTTCACCCTAAGGGTAGTCATTATTGTTTTCTAACAATACAAATTGCTGCTACTTGTTTTTGTACTTTACATAAGTGGAATCACCTTTTGTTTCTGGCTTCTTTCGCTCAACATTTTGTTAGTGATATTCATATCGTGGCATGCAGTTGGCAACTCTGTTTTCATTGCTGTATAATTTTGTTTGAATATTTTATTTATTCAGTCTACTTTGGATGGTAATTTGGATCGTTTCCAGTTTGAGCTCATTATAAATAAAGCTCTTATAACCCTTCGTGTAAAGGTCTTTTGGTAGAGATAAATACACAAGAGTTTTAGATATATACCTAGAAGTAGCTTATATGTTGGGCTTCCCTGGTGGCTCGGAGGTTAAAGTGTCTGCCTGCAATGCAGGAGACCTGAGTTCGATCCCTGGGTCAGGAAGATCCCCTGGAGGAGGACATGGCAACCCACTCCAGTGTTCTTGCCTGGAGAACCCCATAGACAGAGGGGCCTGGAAGGCTACAGTCCACAGGGTCACAAAGAGTCAGACATGACTGAGTGAGTAAGCACAGCACAGCTTATATGTTGCATATGATCTGTTTCCCTACATATTGCTGAAGAGTTTTCCAAAGTGATTTTACTGATATCCCACCCCACTGCAGTGTTTGAGAGTCCCAGGGGGCCTCAGGCTAGATTTGAATTCCTGAGGGTATTTTCATTTCCTCTTCTTCATCCAGTATGACTGTACATTTGTGAAACACTCGCCTTCTTATCTTTGCAAAAATTCCATTTCCATGGGATATTCCCTTTTCTTCCATAGGACACATAATCAAGATACTTTAATGTCAGTGATTAACTGGTTCAGTAAATTCAGTACCTTGTTACTTTTTTGTAATAAGCTTAGTGAGTGCATCTCAGACCTGAACTTTGACAAACACCATCCTTTCGTTTCTTGCTTGGTGTTCCTCTCAACACAGACTAGTTGAAGTCTGGCTGCCTTCTACTTGGTCTTAAGTTAGTTACATGACAATAATCATACACTTCTCTTTGCACTTCTTCCATCCTTTCATCAGCAGTAAAATAAAGTTGGATTAGATAAGCTATGAAACGTTTTGTCCCAAACTTACTATAATTTAGTGGTGTGAGAGCTTTACTGCCCATTTTGGAAGACACTGATAGGCTTTGGGCTTGGAAACAGGGTCTTTGAACTCGCATGGCTGTTTTTCACAAGAAAGACCATTTGTCCCCAACTCCCTGCCACTTCCCAGGCTCAAGAATCTAAAGTCAGAACTTCAGAGGAATCGTGTCCCTTAGTCTAAGCACATAGAAGATAGCTGATGAATATCTTAAAGATGTAAACCCTAAAATGCTCCTTAGTAAGAAGTTGCATCTAGAACTCATGCCCCAACCTAGTCTGCCTCCATGGGAAAGGGGCATCTCTAGACTCCATATGAAGTATATGAATACTCCTGGCCACTGAATTTGTTTGATCAGTTTCCAGGGTCAGGCTCCTCCAGAATGTATAAAACCAGTGTTTTGCTTGCCGTTGGGGGTCCAGAACCCTGCCCTGTGGAATTTCAGGTAGGAGAAAGTAGTAGAACCAACCTGGTTATCCTGAAAACCTCGCTGCGGGTCTCTTAGTCCTGAGGACTCACCCAGCCAACTAAATAACTGCTGAGTGTGGAGAGCACAGAGGCAGTTAGCCCCAGTCTCCTGACTTGGCCTGTGACAACTACTTGTGCTTGGAAAAGGGAGAACACCCCTTCTCTCCAACGGCAATTTAGGCACTTAGGATCCATGGTACAGAGCCAGGGCACATGCTGGGACTTCCCATGTCCAGCCTGGATTTTGCCCTCATAAGAAGCAGGCAACTTGCTAGCAGTTTAGAGTCTTGGGGTGGTGGAGTCCTCCTTTGGTATCTAGAGTGTTCGGAGGAACAAAGACATTAAGGATCTGAGATTCAGAGTGTTCTCTTCCTACTGGCTCCAAATTGACTTTCAGTTCATCTCTGTGGTTTTATTCTTTCTAGCATCAATCCTACATCCAGTGAGTTCTTAAGGTCTATGGACTTGAAATCCTAGGCTAGTCATGCTGCAATGAATCTTAGAGATATTTAAGTCCTTCTTCTCATTTTATAGATAAAGGAACTGGGTGTCAAATAGGATGAGTGATTTGGGTGTTTGCCCATGACAGCACACACAGCTAATGGTAATGCAGGGACCACCGGCTCCTGACTCCCAGGCCCAGGTTCCTTCCATCAGACTACCCACCCCTTTGGAGGCCATTTGAGGAAACAGTCCTTCTCTAGTGATCATGTATAACTGGACAGCTTTATGGTTTCCTTTCTGTGACTTCTGATGTACAATTATGGGGATGAGAGATAATTTGGGTTTGAGGGACAGCCTGAATCCAAGGAACTGGGTAAGACAACAGGTTCCCACAGAGCTCTTGGAAGCTTGATCTTGTTAGCACGCTCGGCAAGAAAGGCTAGAGTTAGAAGGCCCTCGGGACCAGCTCACCTGGCAAAGAAACCTAAGTGCTCTGGTTGCCTTCTGCACGACTGTCCCCTTCTCCCAACTGCCTGTCTCCCACCAAAGTCCGTACAGCTGCTTTACCTACACACATTTCCACACCAGAAAATCATTTTTACTTGCCTGGGTTGTCATCATTCATGGCCCCAGAGATGTGCTGAGAGGGTTTATGGGATCTCAACTGCTAATGAGAATGTGGTGCTAGTACCAGGTTTCTGAACCCAGGCCTGAGGCACTAAGGCTGTGTGTATATGTGTGTGTGTGTGTGTGTGTGTGGCTTGAGAAGGGCCTTGGAAAGACCTCCCAGGTTGAATTTCTCTTCAGTGCACAATGCTAGATGCTGCCCAGATTGGCTCTTGCTTGTATCAATATGTTTGTGTGTCGAATCTAGCCCGAGGGTGGCCTCTGGTATCCTTCCTGCCAGTAAAAAGATCTCTCTCTAGGGATATCAGAAACTCATTTGCCCCTTAAGCATTCTAGTTATGCCAACTGGAGAAAAAGAAGACGCAAATTTCAGAGACGAGTACCAGCTAATATTTAATAAGCACTTAATATACTCCTGGTACCATTCTATCAGCAAATTTAGTCTTCAGAAGCACCTTAGGAATTAGGTGGCATTGTTTTTCCAGTTTCACAGAGCGGAAATTGAGGCCCAGAAACCTTAGGTAACTCACTCAAGGTTATAGACCTAGCCGAGTGGCAGAGCTGCGACGTGACCCACCTCCAGGAAGCATGTTCTTGGCCTCTGTGCCCTGCTGCCTCCTGGAGAGTTAGCCTCCCTGGATGTGTGCTGCCCCATCACAAGTCTCTATGTCATGCTGGCAGAGACAGTGAAGGCCGAGGGTGATCCAGAGAAAAAGAAATTTGCCAGGTTGGGTAGAAAGAGAAAGGGAGAACATGGAGTAAAGACACATAACCACAAATAGAAAAACAAGAGTGGAGATGGTTGTCACTGAGAAGTAATAGGGCAAACATGAAGATAAGCTAGTGCCCAAAGCAGGAACCACATGACTTTGGGATCCTAGGTCTGTGGCAAGTGCTTTCCAATCAAAGGCTTTGCCTTCAGCCAGTGACAGCAACGTGCCATGCTATGTCCCTCCTCCCAGGATGCATGTTCCTTTTGCTCTAAGATTTCAACAAATCTGGAATCAGGGCATTCTAAAACTTAAACAAGCAATAAGTTTCTCTGGGCCCTCTTTCTAGTTTGTTCCCTAAATTGGTGGTTCTTCTTGACCCTGATGTCACACTACAGACAGTATGGAGAGTATGTGCTGACGGAAGAGTGTGAGGGCAACACAGATGGTGAAGAGACGATGGCAGCTGAGAGATCTAGATTCTGGCTTCAGCTCTGGCACTGTCTCCTTTGTGACTTTAGCTAAATTTCTTCACCTTACT